GGGTTTGCCCTTTCTACATATGGATGATGCCATATGAATAATATACTGTAAAGATAAACCGTAAAAGAATGCATTTGCTATTGGTATATGGGGTTTCATATTATTTCTTCTGTACTATAAAATCATAAAACTCTTCAAATGTCAAAAACTAGAATACTTCAGTCATGTAATTAAAAAAATGAAAATCAGAGAGTGTTATAGCTGATCATTCATGGTAAAATAAATGTGAAAAAAATACAGGTAGGAGAAGAACTTACTGGCTGAAAAATCTTGGGCTCTGGTTTGGAGGCAGCGCAACATCATTGCTTAGAACTGTCACATCAGAAGTCAGCATAGCTGTGATTTCCTACCTCCTTTAGGAGAAGAATGGAAAAAAAGAGACACTATAATATTTTGAAAAATACATTGCTTCTCATAGAGCAGATATACAATATTTTTGTCAAGCAGGTTTTGAAATAATATGAAAGCATGCAAAGAAGAATAGGATAATATCTCGGAAAGCAATGACTCCTTTTCCTTATCACTTTTAGCTTTTCACAGAAACTATGACCAGGATCCAATGGCCTATTTCTACTGATTCCTACTTTTTCTTTCAGAATCAGTGATCCTTATTCCTTTCTTCGCCATCCTGCTTGTGCTCGCTAAAAGTCTGTTTCAGAGCACTGGGAAACCCTTTGGAACAGATGTTTGACATTACAGAGGACAAAAGTAGGAAGGGAAGAGAGCCCATAGTGATTCCACTGTGGTTGGATGCAGGCAGTACACCACTGAAGACAGAAGTAGTCTGTCAGCCTATGATTGCCAGTCTCTGTTTGAGAAGGTCAAGCAGAACAGTCACAATCATGATCTAAATGTTTTATAGGAGAATTTTAAATCCAATATGATAGGCCAGGTTATTCTGTGCCAATGTGACTTTATAAAAGTACATTTTGCTTTTTATCAGAACCATTGATTATCAGGCTGCTTGGAGATGTCTTTGCCCCATTTGGATAAACAGCCAAGCACTACCTTATAGACATGGTGGCACCTGCTTAAATTTTTTTTTAAAAAATCTGTCAGACATTTCAGCCATATTTCTTGTCACCTCTTTTTTCCTTTCATGTTCTAGTATGTTATTCACCCAAATCAACCTTTCAGCAGCTAAGAAGGTTGGAAAATGTAATTGATGGTATTTAAAAAATATTTATCATGCATCTATGTACCTGTCTACTATTTTAAAACATTGTTCAACCAATAAAATCTATATAATGAATTCATTGAAATATCAGTGACTCTAACTAAGGGGTAAAGAGAGATTAAACGAGTTTTAAGAAATAAGATATATTGTTTTAAAGTTGTAAAATTAATCTGAACTACAGGATTGGCCAGAATAAAGCAAGAGAGAATTGTGAAATGTGTGTGTTTGTGTGTCAGTTTTTCCTCTGATTAAGTGCCTTGGAATTCCATGATATGATGCGAAGAAGGAAAGCAATTATTTGGGCGCATATAAAATGAAACATTCAAATATGCATGATATTATGCAGAATTGACATGCTTATTGTCTGAAACAAGCAGAACTTGGAAAATCAAACTATGTGGACTATAATTCCTAGAATCACCTGAATAATATGAGCAATGGCCATCCAGAGTTCGGGAGCTGTAGACCACAAAGTGACATTCCCAAACTTTACAAATAAAGTCCTTGAATTTAAACTGAAAACAGTTAAATTGAGAGGCAGATGATAGTGTCACACTTCATCCATGTAGGTTAAGTCTGAAGTGAGGCATCATGCTGTTTGGCCTAATGGACCAGTGCCACTGCACCCACTCTCCTTAATAAAATTACATACTGTACATTGGAATTTTATGCAGTGTTCTTTCTCCTAGGGGTCTGTGATACCTAAAGGAACTAGTGATAGAATATGTGAAAAGGCTGAGCCAAGGCATTTTGCTGCCCGAGGTAAGGCACAAGATGATGGTAGCTGGACAAGCAATTGAAACTTCCTTCATTGCTGACAGTAGGATAAAGTCCTCCATTGCACTTGAATAGCTGGCTGAGAAGAATGACTGATTACCATGAACTTATTTTTCTTAAAATTCATGTGTATTCCGATATACTCAGAAGAAAATACTCTTGACTTCAGTGGGACATATGCCCAGGATAGAAGGCAGGTTGATGACGTGCTTTACATATCTGGCAGTAAGCCTCATTGAAGTTAAGGGGGATCAGCTGTCTATAGAACTGTGCTGTCTGGCTAGTTAAATTCCGCTGAATTCAGGTGGAGTCACATAGCCTATGTCTGTAGGGGAGTTCCGTACCATTTTTGTGCCTATGGCTCATTAGCCTACAGTAGCAAAAATAACAAAAAGTCTTGTGTTTCCTGAAAGACCAGCAGGTTTTATTTTGTGTAAGCTCTCATGGACTACTTCATCAGATTCATAATTACCATTCAGAGATGCAAATTAAAGGTTCTGATCTAGTTTTTTTTAAAATTAGACTTTGACTAAGCAGTTCATTTTTAACACAACCATACTCCAATTCCTTAATTACTGTAATATTCCAGAAAAGAAATTGGTGTGCCTTTATAACAAGAATGCTGCACCTAAGAGGAGATGTCACACAAATGCCTTGTTTCCTGAGACAGTGGAGGAAAAAAAAAAGAGAGAGAAAGGTACAAAGGATTGACTTATTCTGCTTCTACCATAGTTTTAGACCACACTGTATTTGAAAATGTTTAGCATCATCTCATATTCTGTTCTGAGCTGATATGGCAATGTGGCATTGTAATTCATTTCATAGGATGGTACTTACCTGGGTGTACACACCATTGGACTCACTGGGATCTCTAAGCAGATATCTGTAGGACTGAGCTTTAAAAGTACATTCCTATAAATTAGAAATAAGCCCCACTGAGTTCAGTAGGATTGCTCCTGGATATTGATATCAAAATCTCTATGTGTCATTTTCAGAGGTCCACTGACATTCTTATCCCATTCTTGTTCTACGATGAGTCACCAGACTTCCCCATTTTTAAATGTCAAGAAATTGGAGCATAGTTTTCTTTGTCATCTCATCTGCACATTTTTGTAAACATTTTCCTGATGTACACATCTTATACACACATTCCCACTGAGTAAAATGTTTTTGTGCACCTCCTTGAAATGAGCTCATTTTCAGCTACCTACATTTTGAAAACATACATTTAATTCTGTGGGCAGTATTTTCTTGGAAACTTATGGCAAGTTTAGAAAATACAGTATACTCATTTCTGGGGCAAAATGTACAGTGTTCTCATCTCAGTTTTAGTTGGTGCAAAATAGATATTTTTGTACTAAAATTCCAGTCCAATGATTTTCATTTCAATTCCGACTCCGAAATAGGTAGGCTTTAAGTCTGCAGCTTTCAAGACAAAATGGTGAACTAGGACATACCTGCTTCAAATCTTGGCCCAGACTGCAACTCAGTAGGTGGCCTCAGAGAAAACACTGTGTTGTGTCAGCTCCCACTCCATCAGAATGATGAGAATAATATTTATTATATTTTGTTTAGGAATTTCCTTACAATGAAGCCGAGACTAGGACCATTCCTGATAGGTTTTAGCTGGCCAGTGACCACATATTTATTCTGCATGGCTTTTAATATATGATGGACAGTTTTGAGTTTGTTGTTTTGGATTTAGAAGTCTCGGTTTTACTTGTTTTTGTTTTGTTTTAAAAATGCATTAAGTCTGAAAAGTCATATGAAATGCTTTTACAGATGAAAGAAAGTAATATCGAACAACCATCAAAGGGTCATCATAAGGGTGGCATGTGAAAGGGTGACCTGTGGAATCCACCAGTGTTCTGGATTTTACTATTTATTGCCAGTATGGGGCAATAATAAGGGATTATATGGAATCTAGAACATCTGGAGATCCAAAGATTCCCTCCCTGCCATTGTATGATTTATTGAGACTATATCTGTAAAGTAGTTTAAATATCTTAAAATGCTATATAAATGCAAATTGTTGCTACCAGCAGTTCTGTGCAAAAAGCCGGTGTGCTGCATATAGAAGTGATCATGAGAAAAAGCTCTTGTTTGTTTGCATGGAGCAGGAGCTTAGCTCTCTGTGCCTTGAGCCAATAACGACATAAAATGTTGATAGGAACTCAGGGAGGATTTCATGGCCTGAATTTCCCAAGAGATACGTACCTCACACTTTGAGAACCCTTGTGTTCTATTATTCAGTATATATATTTATAAAGAAGAGGGGTCGCTTATGGAGGTTTGATCATGGTTTAACATACAAGATGATCTGTATTCATTTTCATCATTTCATGCCTTCCACTTGGCAGCCTCCTCAGGATGCTTGTCTTTTTCTGGCTCTTTTGAAGTGCTGCTTGCATTACTTTGAGTTCCCTGAACTCAGCTGCAGTAGGCCGTTTATTTTAAAAGTTATCTTTCTTATTCTTCTCATCTTTTATTGGTTGTACCTCTCAAAATTTGCAGCCAGAAAAAAAATCAAACAAAATAACCAAAATGAAAACAAAACAGAAAAACATAGTGGCACCTTAAAGACTAGCTTTTATATTCCAGTGTAAGCTTTAGTGGATTAATCTACTTTGTAGGACATATTGGATTCTAACGGATTATGAAAAAAAAAAAAGGAAAAGGGAAAAAGAAAGAAAAAAAGCTCATATAAAGGTAAGTCTGTAAGGTACCACTGAATTTTTGCATTTTTAAAAATTTGTTTTGGTATTTTCTGGCTATGCTTATACAGACTGTCACAGCTATTACTTTTAAAGCTATTTCAGCATTAAGCATTCCTTATGCACAACGTGTCGTGTTTTAATGAAGTGAGGATCCAGGGTCACAAAATGGTAAAAATTGACCAACTCCATTCTGTGGGTAAAGAGTGTTTTTGTAACTAGAGATTACGTGAGCGATTATATGTATTTTCCTTCAGCATTTTAGTTGTCTTCTGGGATTTCTCAATCTGTAATTTCCCAGCATGAATAAATATCTCTGCGTCTTTTCACAGATTGTTGAGTGTCTCTGGCATACAACTTGATAATCTCTGTGTTGAAGAAAATAGTTCTGGAACAATGGATAATAATAGTAAAGGATCTTACTGCACCTAAAGGTCAGTGGATAGAGCTGGACATTTCCATTCCAGAACTTTTTTTTTTAAAAAAAACTTTTTCAAAATGGCACATAATGAACCAATGTCACATAAGGAATCTAGTCTAGGGATCAAATGTCAGGGTATACAGTATGTTGCCAGAAGGAGCAGAAGATGAAAAGGAAGCAGTATTTAGAAATGCTTATTTTGCTAGAATATTTATTTAGTATTCCTCCAGAGGAGGATCCGTTCTCCATCATCCCCAATTGCAGGATTTATTTACCCGCCTCTCTAGTGAATAAGTGGCATCCTTTTAGTTATGACAGTACCTTGTAGTGAATTTTGATTCTAATTCCTTACTAGAGTTTGGAATTGATTCCTTTTCCAATAATAATTATGTTTAACTACCATACACTACAAATATATGCCAGGTAGGTGGGACTCGTTCAGCCCTGGAAGGCAGCCCATCTAGGAGAAGGAAAACTCTGATTTCAAACCTCCACTGCCTTGTGGCTTTATCCACTGATAGAAAAGGCTTCAGGAGTAAACCTCGAGGCAAAATCCGGAGCCAGAGTTCCGGAGGCAGTTTGTGTCATTCTGGCAACTCCTGCAACAGCGCTGGAACCAGTTGTATTGGCTCTTGCCTTTCCATTGGACTATTTCAGAGATGTGGAGAGGGTGAATTTGCTGCTTGGGTAACAGCCTATCTTCCATATTATTTTACCCGGGCTTCGTGCTCTGGAGGGGACACTCCAGCTTTGCATACAGCGTTGAAGCAAAATCAGGGAGCTGGACAGGGGACAGATTGTATTTGTCTTCAGTGTGGAAGAGATTGTCATTCTCGAATTGGTCTTCTCAGCCACACTAGACGCTGTTCCAAGTCCTCCATACAGAGTACGTTACCATAGTCTCTCAAGACTGAAGGATGCCTACACTACAAATATAGCTTAATACAGGATAAGTTCACCTCCTTTTGTATTGTAATTGTAATGTTTTAGTTACTTTTATGATTATGGGAATGTGGTCCTCACTATAGAGTTGTGAAGGAATACCATGTGGTTCAAATGCTGGATCATGCTATGCTGTTGTTGCCTCGGCTTTGCTGTGTGTGTTGAAGTAATGAGGTGAACAGCAAGAGAGCATACTTTGTACCACAGGCCAAAGACTTCTAACATTCAGGTAGTTTTTAAAAAGAAGTATCAACAAGTGACCATTTTAGTTACTTTTTTGGATAGAGGAGAGCAGCTGAGAGAAGGAGGGGGGAAAGATGTCATCCATATCCATGTGTTTATTTGTTGATAGATCCTCTATCCATTCAGATAATTGTTAGATCCTCTATCGATTCAGTAACTGGGGGATTGGACAGGATTTTGTTGCCAGTGTTGCATTATAAATCTTTTAACCACAGTAAGAACATGAAAAGCCAATTTTTGCACAGCAGTGGTTAAATTGCAAAAAATAAGCAAGAACATTTCTCCCTTCAACAAGACTGGGGTTGGGGCACAGGGCCCCCATGTAGTTCAAAATCCATGTATAACTCTTATGCCCCCCAAATGTAACTACAAAGCATAAACATATGATTAATGCACATACTCCTGCACCCACATCTACACACCTCCGCTGACCCACATCAGCTTTCCTGCTTACTCCAACACTGTCCTTGGCCACCATGTGAAAGGGGCCAACTGGGTTGCCAGCATCAGACTGGAGGCCACCACACTGCTAACAGCAGGGCCCTAGATAAACCTGAGACCCACCTTTTCTCACACTACTTCCTGGAGACATATAGCAGCACAATATTTATGGAATATTTATTTATTTATTGGATATTTATGGAATATTTATTTATTTATTGGATATTTATGGAATATTTATTTATTTATTGGATATTTATGGAACATTTATTTATTTATTGGATATTTATGGAACATTTATCTATCTATCTATCTATCTATCTATCTATCTATCTATCTATCTATCTATCTATCTATCTATCTATCTATCTATCTATCTATCTATCTATCTATTTATTTATTTCTGTATTTGTTTACTTATTTACTTAATGAAAACATACATACCTGTATATAACCAAACCCGTGTCGCTCAGATCCATGCAATTCAAGGGAGAAATATAATTTAAATGCATGTAGACATCAACAAGAAATCAGTGAATGATCCAATACAAAATTAATACAAGCAATAACTGCCCTTCTGAAAAAATCTATGACTAGACCTGATCAGACCATATACTGAGTTGCAGTGCCAGCAATTTCATGATTTACCTTTAGTAAAACTGAACTGTCATATCCTATTTATCTTAAGACTTACGTTTTGGCTAAATACATTGTCGCTTCAGTTGCATGGATACAGTAGGTAGGGAAGCTATGGCCATAAAAGACACTTCAGTTCCTTGTTCCATTTGTTCTGAAATTCTGCGTGTCACATTTAGGAACCAATGAGAATGAGCATTCAAGAATGGGGAGACTCTGAGGCACTTAGTGGTGTTGGACCGTATTCACGTCACGTACCAATAAATGTCGCAATTATGAACATTGCCATTTGGCTGAGATTGGCAAATAATACCTAGCCCTCAGTTTAGGAAATTACAAAAACTCATCATCATAACCGGCCAATTGAGAATCACCCTACAAGTGATTTTCAGGGGATTAAAAAGATTTAAAAACAGATTACAAACATTTTAAAGCTGATCCAGGCAGGCACTAAGAGCCAGCTTCTTCTCCTCTTTCTCTTTTTAAGCCATCCGAGAGCCCAAAGACCCTTCAGAACAATAATTTTCACTGCCTGTTAGAAGTTCAAGGGAGATGAGGTCAGCTTAACATGCCCTGGGAGGGAGTGTCACACGAAAGGCGCTGCTACATAGAAAGCCCTCTTTCATCTCATGAGCCTAGCATCTCCAGATGGTGGCACATACAGCAAGGCCTCTGCTCAGATCTCAGACTCTGGGCAGGTATACATGGGAGGAGGCAGTCTTTCAGATACCCTGGCCCCAAGCTGTTCAGCCTTCTAGAAGTCTTAAACTGAATCAGGAAAGCATATTGGAAGACAGTTGAGTTATAGTCAGTACTGCATGTGCCTCAAACTGCACATCTGATAACAGTCTGGCTGCAGTATTTTGCATTAGCTTTAGCTGCTGTATGCTTTCCAAAGTGCAACCCCATGTGTATTGCATTCCAGTGGCCTAGTTAGGAAGTAGGAAGTGCACAGATCATTGTGACATAATCTGCCTTCTCTAGGAAAACGTCAGAATTGTGCAAAGGCACCCCTAGCTACAGCAGCTCCTTGGCTCTCTAGAGCTAATGGCACCTCCAAGATACCTGATTTTTCAAGGAAATAATGGCGTATCCAGAAAAGGCTATAGTCCTAAACCCAAACTATTCTTTCTGTTAACCAACAGAATTAGTTTTGTGCTTGGGTTGAGCCTCACACACATCTAATCCATCACTGCCTCTTGGGTGTTGGTTGAGTAAGAAGAGAAAGAGCTGGCTTTCATCAGCATAGGAGTGAGTCCCTCAACTCTGGATGACCTCCCTAGTGGCTTCATATACATGTTTAAAGGGACAAGGGGCAATATTGAACCTTGAAGGATATTGTAAAGTAGTGGTGGCTTAACAACAGTCCCCCAGCACCACCTTCTGGGACTGTTCACCCAAACAGGACTGCAATTCTCCACAATCACTCCACAAAGATACTGTGCTCAATGGTATCAAAAGTGGCTGAAGAAGTCCAGGGAACAAAAATGTGTATGCAGTCCTCAGTCTCCTTTCTGGTGCATTGTCATCCATCAAGGCAACTAAAGCCTGTACTCAGATTGGAACTGAAACCATCAGTTTAATCTAAAAAGCCTGGAATTGTGCTTTCACCACTTGCTCTAAGACCCTACTTAGAAAATGAACATTAAATACTGGTCTATATTTATGTAGCATTTTGTGATCCAGTGAAGTCCCTCCCCCCCCAGCAGAGGTCTTATAACTGATTCACTTTAGAGGGGTTGGAACACGCCATGTTTTTCCAAAAAAAGCTCAAAGAAGTATTTACAGAGCTGTACCAGCCAACTGGTTGACTCTTCCTTATGAGCCAGGGTGGAGGAAGTTCTAGGGAACAAGTGCTTGACTTCACCTTTGAAAGCAGCTTGCCTGCATCTTCAGGCTGACCAAACTGAAGCTCATCCATCAAAACTGGACCAGGGAATGTCTCAATTACCTACTCAGAATGTACCTTCATTATAGTCCTAATTGGAATAGATAAGTTTTGCAAATTCATCATTTCTTTCTTTCCTTTCCTTCTGTCGGCAACTGCCACTGTCAAGGCTGGGAGAACTAATCGTAAATATTGGCAGAATCTGAGAAAGTTCCTTTTTCCAATGATTACATCCAGAAACTGGCCATGTTGGTTGGGGAATTCTGGATGTTGTAATCCTCAAAAAGCAACTTTTTCAGTGTGCATATACTTCTCTAAAGGAGCAGCAGAGAGAGCAAAACTGTATTGCACCAGCGGAACCACTATTAAACAGGCACAATCTGAGGGCATAAAACTCTGCATTCAAGTTATTCATTGATTTTTTCACCTTATGCAACCCCAGTGAAGTCAGTGATGTGTCAAAAATGTAGGTCAGTACTGAAAATAGCTTACTAGAATATATCAGTGAATTTTAAAAGGGATTGTGGGAGTCCACTGTTGACCTGAAATTGAACTAAAGAGTCCAATCTGATCAAACTGCCATCTGCATCAACCTATTGTTCCCAATTAGGAATTTATTTCCGTTCTCTGCCCCTAACCATAGCTGACATGACAGAAACATGACAGAACTTCTCCTTGACAGCCTGGTCTCTTGACTGTGACTAAAATGAGTAAGACATAATGTTGGTTTAAGTAGATAAAAATGTTAGGCTTAATAAACGAAAGAGGAAAGGTTGACATGAAACCGTTGCTAAAATTGTTCCACCTGGAAAAATTGGAAGGTGAAGGAACTGTCATGGGTGAAACTAGGATAAACAAAATGTTGTTCTTCATCACACAATGTGGATGCTTTCAAAGGGGTGGCCTTGATCATCTTTCAGTATAAAGCCAAGAGTCCAGTGGCACCTTTAAGATGAATGGTACACACATAGTCCACTTCTGCAGTCCTGTGACTTCAAGTGCATATGCAATATAAATAATTATACTGGTGTGGGATGTAGATAGTCAAGTCACAGTATATTTAAATGCAGAATAGCAGTGACAATTGTATCAACATAAACACACTAGTACCAGGTGGTATAATAAGAATCTGTTATATCATGCTGGAGTTTCCCAGTCAAGCAGTTTCTCCCTCTATGAAGTTACTTCAGATTGTAAAGCAAGAATAGGATCTAGTTCCTGAAGGTTTGTTGCAACTGGCACCACGGAATATTTTGAAGTCATCCTAGTTGTAGGACTAGAACCGCATGCCCCAATCATGAATGGCTTAATCTTTTAAGTTTGTGTTAAAGGTTGTGTTTAAGGTTACACTCCAGGGCCTTTAGCACCTTGACCAAGAGGGACTAAAGGTCTAGAGCATGCAAAACATATTGAACCAAGGTATTTTGGTTTTATTTTCGATTGAAAGGAAGTGAGAGATGTTTGAAATGATAATGACTTCTATTTTTTTACTGTGATAGAAAGGCAGTAAAAATTTAATTTTCCATTTCTTATACTGAACAAAGAAGAAATATGCCACCTTTAAACCTATATATTTTTAAAGCATTTATATCATACCTGCAGACTCCAGTCCACAAAAATGTGTGACAAAACCTTTTAATCTTTAGGGCACCACAAGACTGTATTATTTTTGCTGTAGAACCCTAACATGGCTAATTCCTTGGGAGTTTTTGCAAGGAAAGACCCCATGTTTAGCCATACAGAATGGAAACCAATCAGCCTCGAAAAAGAAACTCATCCAGCTACAAGCTGCAAAAACGATGGCAGCTAAAACTGTTTAGTCTGGAAAGTGCCGCCTGCCTCTTTGAACAGAACCCTATTGGTCAGTTAAAGTGGCATAAGTGCCGTGGCATAAACTGCAGTGAGGAATTGCAGTTCCTTAACAAGTTGCAACTAATACCCTTTGTCACATACCAGTTGATGGGATGATATGTAACAAGAGATCCAAGTGGCAACTTATTAACTTGCAGCAGTTTGGGGTTGCAATTTATGCCACTTCACTTACACCATCATTACTGACTGATAGGATTCTGGCCTTTGACATTCATAATGTTTATTTAAAATGGCAATATAAGTGTACTGTATATGATATATGTGTTTGTATTTTTACTTGTTGATCAAGTCTTGACGAAAGAAAGGAAATTTCTGAAGTGCATTGGGCACAGTAAAACTAAGATCATGAGTTCTCTCCTAAATTCTATGTTGAGAATTCCTTCTTTCTTGTTTTTGTATCCTAGGAACCAACATTCAGAGAGCTGTTGCCTTTTCTCCTTAAAAAGAGACACGACCATCATTTTTAGTAGCTGTTGGTTGACTTATTGGAGATGGCATAGAAAGACAATTAAGAGATTACTGGACTTCAAAACATTTGAACGGTCAAAGTTTCTCCATTGCTGCCTTTTGGCAAGAATGGGCAGAAGGTAGATCTAGAGTGATTGATAGATCTCTGGCTAATCTGCAGCCTAACCACAATAGTTTCAAACCATGATAATTTAACAACACAACAATCAAAAGCATCTTCTTTTTCTTTCTCTTTTATCTGCATTAGGTGGCTACAAACATAACTGACTGGCCATGTATGGAATAATATTCTGAGGCAACAGTCCTACAACAATATAACTTGGAATAAACTCAGCTGAACTCAATGGGAAATACTTCTAAAGAAATGGGTATAGCTGCGAAACAAAGATAGGCTGGGCAGGCAAAGGGGCCAATGATGTGTGTATTAAAAGACTGTGAGTGCAGTGCTGGAAAAGAAAAGAAGACAGCATCAAACTGAAGAGGAAAAAAAGCCAGCCACAAATAACGTATTTCTGCCATACATCAAAGGGTCATGGACCGCAGGGGGAAACTTTTGAAAAAACACAACCTACAAACAGTATTCAAGCCCACCAAAAAAGTTACAACAAATGTTACGGTCAGCAAAGGACAGAAGGGACCCCTCACCACTGCAGGAGTACACCAGATACCTTGTAGTCGTGGCCAGGTATGTACTGGAACCACAAAACGCAGCATCCACATCAGAATCAAAGAACATGAGAGACACTGCAGACTAAAACAACCGGAAAAACTGGCAGTAGCCGAACATGCCCTAAAAGAAGCTGGACATGAAATTCTTTTTCAAAATACTGAAGTACTGGACAACCCCAGCAATCATTATGTTAGATTGCATCGGGAAGCCATTGAAATCCACAAACACCAGCAGAGCTTCAACAAAAAAGAAGCAAGTTTAAAACCGCCCAGAGTAGACCCTTGGTTTAGATGGGTGGGACAGAAATCTAACAAACAAACAAACAAACAAACAAAGACTCAACAAAGCCTGGCTCCCAGCACTGAAAAATACAGCCTGCTAAAGGTCAACAAACTCTACCCAGCCACAAGGGCCGGTGATCACTGCACACAAAAGACCAGCTATTGACACCCATCAATCACAGTGACAGATAATCTCTCCCTTTTATCACAACAATACACCCACAACAAAAAAGCTGATCTCCATAATCACCCACTCTCCTGAAAAGGACAAAAGCTTATCCCACAGCTATAAATACTCAACTATCCAAACACCTGCACCAGAGCACAGACGGACTTCTGACTCCTGTCCTCTGAAGATGCCGGCCACAAAGACTGGCGAAACATTAGGAAGAACAACCTTCAGAACATGGATGGCCAAAGAGCCCGAAAAACCCACAACAACCATCAGATCCCAGCCGTGAAAGCCTTCGAGAATACATTTTTTCCCTTTCCCTTTTCTGTGTCAGTCAAGAAGCTGCCCACAAATGAAGCAGTTCTGGCTGCAGGCAGTTTCTTGATGGGCACTTCAGATAATACAAAGACTTTTTTTTTAAAAAAAATCTGTGATGTAGCATATCAGTGATGGTCTAGCAGAGTAAAAAAAAGCCCCCCAAAAGTTCCCCTGCCGATCTGCCAAGGAGCAGGGGAAGTGTTCAATTTGTGGATATCTCGAAGTGGCTTGCTTATTAAGCCAGTTCACAATACCATATATTGACAACAGAAATACCCAGACTAAATAGGGTTGCTTGAGGTCTGTATGCTATTTGGACCAAATGGCATATTGCACCTCTACCTGATTTCAAGTGACCTCATTTAGATTACACCAGCCCCCTCCAAAAAGGCCAGTGTAGATGACTCCTAAATTGTTTATATAGAAGGCAACTAGGGGTTCAGTCATGAGGTAAATGGAGGATGAAATATCAGGAGTCAAAGGTGGGAATCCATCCTGGGCCTGCTCTTTTAAAAAGGTCCTGACTGCTGAGCTCCTTAGAGCTCTTAGAAATAAGCCCATTGAAGGGTTTTATGCTGGGGAATTTAGCACCATGAGACCTTGCTTAGGAGTGCCTTTTATTATAAAAAGACCTATTTCTTCTGCTGACTTGCGAAGCACATCTAAAAGATACAGATTTATACTTCTATAAATAAGGCATGGGATATGTTTTCATTGTCAGGGGACACAGGCTAAACTTAAGAATTTATTAAGTCAAGCATATATTGCAAATTAAACCAGTAAATAGTAAGCAAGAAAAACCGGTGTTTGATGTATGATGAGGAATATGAAAACATGACCAATTACCTGAAAACTGCAGGAAATACTCTTGTAATGTAGTGTACATTACAAGAATGCAGCCATTAAACACACAGACACACAAAGAAATCCAAATTGGGTTGGTGGTTGGCCTGGTTTATACATGTAGCAGAATGCGATGCACAGGTCTGAAAAACTTTGGTTTGTATAAACCTTTTAAATGACAACTCACAGAACCCCACAATTCTTGGATTTGTAGTCCAAAAGAAGTAACTTTCTCCATATCTGATCTTCTTTGACTGCTTTCTGGGGCCTTGCCAGCCAAGCCCTCCACCCCTTTCTTTCTTTTGCAGTTCCTCTGCTACATCAGAAGGGAGAGATTCTCCTGAGAATGCCGCATGTGAAATACTTATATTAAGAATTTATATGAAAAATGGCCCGGTCCCTTGTGTTCGCATGCAAAAGACAGTTTAGGCGTGGGAGGCTGAAATTTTCCGTCAGCTGTTAAGCTTTTTGGGTGGCCTTGGGCGAGTGCTCCCTCCCAGTCTTCCCCTGCCTCAGCCTTTCAAGGTAGTTGTGAAGATCGATAAATGTTTTTATGTAGGTCACAGCCATAAGGCTACATACAGAAATATTTTAAAAAATAAATGATGCATAATAATGTTCCATTGTGAGGCAGCAGCAGATCATTTGAAAACTAAGATGAGGTTTGGCTCAGTTCTGTAAACTAGAAACAACCTCAGCTCTGTAAACTAGAAACGTTAAACACTCTTTTATTTTCTTTACTGAACAATACACCTTCATTTTGATTTTCAGACTTCATTTTGCCAGTTTCCTGTTCACACTGACTATCTGCAGGGAACCCACAAAAATGGCTAGCAAGAAGTCACCTGCATCCTTTTCTTTGTTTCCATGGAACCAATGCCACAGTATTAATACAGGTAAAACTATTCATTATTTATCTTACTCTAATTCATTGAGTAAATGATTGTCCCTTCTAATGTAGTTGATTTTGTGTAGTTCACACTTTCGGTGCCCTACAAAGGAAAAAAAAAATACTTTCCACCATTCAGAAAAACATACATACATTAGCAGACTACAACTGAAGAGATAAAACCATCTCTTTAAGTAATGATTGCTTGCTTCTGTCTTGTAAAACTGAAATTTCCCAGACATAGTTCTTTTGTACTTTCAGAATACAATGGTGCTCTATGGATCTCTATTGCCACATTTGCATAGTCTGTAGCTTGAGCAGGTAGGGCACCTTATGTTGAAAGTCTCAGGTGAGCCCCCTCCTGCTTGGAACATGAGCCACCCCGCAGGGACTCAGGTGAAATAATCTACATTATAAATGGAACATTTTATTTTTAACAATCGCCACCAGATCCATAGTTGTTGGTTTTTTTGGAAGTACCTACCACAGAGCTCATTGGGGTTTGTTGTTGTTTAGTTGTTTAGTCTAGTCGTGTCCGACTCTTCATGACCCCATGGACCAGAGCATGCCAGGCCCTCCTGTCTTCCACTGCCTCCCGGAGTTTGGTCAAATTCATGTTGGTTGCTTTGATGACACTGTCCAACCATCTCATCCTCTGTCGTCCCCTTCTCTTCCCATTGGGGTTTAGTCAGAGGTAAATGTAAGTTTGGAGCTTTAATATGGTACCGAAAGAAACACACATTTTGCATGATTTGACTTTGGTATAAAGTTTCTTGATGTTGTGTTATAATCACCCGGTGAGTTTAACTACCCTATGAGCTGTGTGTATCTCTCTTGTGTGTGCACAGTTGCATTCACACACTTATGATATGTCTGAAATTAAAAAAAAGGGGAATGTTGCATATAAAAATATTTTCTGGAATTAAAAAAATGGCAGAGAGCATCTTTAGTGGGTGTAAAATGACAGAAATGGCATTGCTAATTTATTTTCATGACTGCCAAACACAAATATGCCCCTTCTGTCTTTAATTACAGTGGTGAAATTCCCAATTTGCTTCAAAGGGGGCAACACTATGAATCTTATGATAACATTTTCTCTTCTTTATTTCCCTCATGTTCAATTTTGGAAATATACAAAATGAACTCAATTCCCGTCCCTCCTTCCTTCCCATACTTTGAATGCCAATCTTTTTATAAGAATTAAAATGAAAGCAATTGGTGGCTCAAAAAGCACTGAGCCACTTGAAGAGTCTGATCTAAATTTCATTAGTTGTAATAACACGAGTTAGCATGGAAGTGGCAACTCTAAGTGAGCCATTTATTATGATACAATGCTTTCTTAATCTGTACAAAAACATACATCCAAACATACCTCAGATCATTTCCTTAGTCACAGGGCTTTCGAACTTATGGAAACCTCCAAGGATGTATCACAATTACAATAATTTTTTTTCTTTGAAAACTAATATAATGTGCTTTGAAGTAATGGAGCACCGTAATCTACGATCAAACACCTAAACTAACAGAAAAGCTAGAACCATCAAAATGAAGATTGTGGAGACAGAAGTGAGTAATCAGATAAATGAAAAGAAAGTTTTGAAAAGGATTGCAGAGGAGGAACAGGAGATATTACTGTTGTGTTTCTTACTTCATTGTTGTTTTCCTTTCAGCAAAAGTTCTATCAGCTGGGGAGAGTTGTTCTTTTCTTTGAAGCTAGCTCTTGTTTCTCCGAAGCCAGATTCCTTATTCCCAGGGCTCCACTCAGTAATGCCAGCACAAACATACATCAGCAGCTGCACAGCACTTTCAAGAGTTAGCAAGAAGCTATCAAGCTATTACTTATTCCGCTTTAGATCCAGGACCCTGATTTTATGTTGCAGGTCTGAAGTTTCGGGGAATGAGGCAATCGAAGACAAGGCGTAAACAAATGTCTTCAGAAAGTATACTTATGTGGACTGAGACATGAACTATACCTATATTTAACTGAAAGACAATGTTCTATAGAGGAGCAATGCCCACACAGCACACTCAAAATTAAATATTTGAGCTTACACATTTTCTAAATTGAAACGTTATCAAAAGCTCAGACTTTCTATTGGGTTGAATCTGGACTCACTGCTGATTAGAGTAAACCAATTAAAATCAATGGGGCCTAAGTAGTCAGCAGTAATTTGTCCCACTGAGTAATGTTAAGTTTGTTGTAACTGTGATTAAGTTGGGTTAAAGCCCATTATCCACAGGCTACTTTATATAGCTTATTAAAAAAACCCTATGTATATAGACTGGAGGGACTATATATTTTCCTACTAATACATTTTTGTTGTTGTTTAGTCGTTAAGTCATGTCCGACTCTTTGTGACCCCTTGGACCAGAGGACACCAGGCCTTCCTGTCTTCCACTGCCTCCCGGAGTTTAATCAAATTCATGTTGGTAGCTTCAATGACACTGTCCAACAATCTTGCCCTCTCACATCCCCTTCTCCTCTTGTCTTCACATTTTCCCAATATCAGGGTCTTTTCCAAGGGTCTCCTCTTCTCATGAGATGGCCAAAGTATAGGAGCCTCAGCTTCAGGATCTGTCCTTCCAGTGAGCAGTCAGGGTTGATTTCCTTCAGAATGGATAGGTTTGTTCTCCTTGCAGTCCAGGGGACTCTCAAGAGTCTCCTCCAGCACCACAATTCAAAAGCATCAATTCTTTGGTGGCCAGCCTTCTTTATGGTCCAGCTCTCACTTCCATACATCACTACTGGGAATCGCTTCGACGATGCGGACCTTTGTCGACAAGGCGATGTTTCTGCTTTTTAAGATGCTATCTAGATTTGTCATTGCTTTCCTCCTAAGAAGCAGGTGTCTTCTAATTTCGCGGCTGCTGTCCCCATCTGCAGAGATCATGAAGCCCAAGAAAATAAAATCTGTCACTGCCTCCATATCTTCCCCTTCTATTTGCCAGGAGGTGATGGGACCAGTGGCCATGATCTTAGTTTTTTTGATCTTGAGCGTCAGACCATTTTTTGCGCTCTCCTCTTTCACCCTCATTAAGAGGTTCTTTAATTCCTCCTCACTTTCTGCCATCAGAATGGTATCATCTGCATATCTGAGGTTATTGATCTTTCTTCTGCCAAACTTAATTCCAGCTTGGGATTCATCCAGTCCAGCCTTTTGCATTATGTATTCTGCATATAAGTTAAATATTTATTTATTTATTTATTTATTTATTTATTTATTTATTTATTTATTTATTTATTTATTTATACCCCGCCTATCTAGTCATTTCGACCACTCTAGGTGGCAGGGAGACAATATACAGCCTTGTCGTACTCCTTTCCCAATTTTGAACCAGTCAGTTGTTCCATATCCAGTTTTAACCGTAACTTCCTGTCCCACGTATAGATTTCTCAGGAGATGGATAAGGTGGTCAGCCACTCCCATTTCTTTAAGAACTTGCCATAGTTTGCTGTGGTCCACACAGTCAAAGGCTTTTGCGTAGTCAATGAAGCAGAAGTAGATGTTTTTCTGGATCTCTCTGGCTTTCTCCATAATCCAGCACATGTTAGCGATACATACAAAATAATAAAAGAGTAGCAAATATGCATATCTGTGCATCCATCCATCCATCTCTGGCAATCCTTGCACCTTAAAAAAATTGAGGTAAAACAGCAGGAATGTGAAACTTTCGTCCTTTAAATATTTTGGACTACAGCTCCCATGATCTGTAACTATTGGCCACTTCTGGGAGTTGGTGTCCAAAGCCTCTGGATGGCCAATAGTTCCCTATTCCTTGCTACAACAGTTTGGGAATAGGAATTTAGATTCGATTGCCCAATAATTATTTTGCATCATGTCTGTGGTGGCGGCAAGTAAGTGTGCAAACTTTTCTTGCATGAACATGATTATTTAAATTTGTCCATAACATTTGTACACTGTTTGTTCCTCTCCTAGTGGTGGTTGGATGCCACTGCGGCTGCTCTGGTGCTGGATGGTGCAGTTCCAAACAACGATGTTGTGTTCTATTTGTATGCTGCTTGTTGTCATAAAGCACCTAAGCAGTTTACAATAAAACTTTGATACAAAACTGTTTAAAAGCATTTTTAAAAGATAATAGTTTTTTTTAAAAAAACTTCACAACAACAGCACAAAACTCTGCAGTTATCTCACTGTTCAGAAATGCTAACCTTATTTAGGTATTGAGACAATCCATATCCCACAGGGGAACAGGGACATGTGCTGCGTTCCCATCTCTGCTGACTGTGGGGACTCTGTGTTTACTGGGAAGGTCTGAATGGAAAATAATAGTGAGCATGTGAAGGTGAGTGGTCTTAGAGAACCATACAGTCTGGAACCCTGATAAGGGAAGATTCTCAGTCATATGGAGTTTTGTAGTTGTGTTTGGGGGAATGAGTTTACACTTTCCTTTCTGATCTTTACCTGAATAGGCAGGACTGAATTGGGATGGAGCAACTGGGGCTTTTCCCCAGGGCACCAGCATTTGGGTACTGAAATCTAGAGTTCAAGCTACTGTTAAATGTTCAAAAAATAAATGGCAACACATGCTGGCCCTATTTGCTTTCCTTTTTTTGAAAGCATAAACTCTCTCTTCATTTTTGTTGGACACCACATTGTCCTTTTCTTTTCTCTTTGGGGGATTGCACCTATGCTTCACAGCAGAGTGCTGGGAGATGGTTCTACTTTCACCATGAATGCTAAAATGGCAAATTACAAGCTCTGTGACTAGGGCTTCTGTGAGTCCCCCATAGGGCTTGAGAGCACCAGGCGTCTTCCTACCATGTACAGATGCTATGGCTGGAATGGGAGTCCTGCAGCCCTTAATCAGCCTGCACACCCAGGAGCATTTTATGGACTCCGAGATCCCCTTAGGGCATGCAAACTCCTCACTTCCAAAATTGGGAGGGAAACATAAACTGGTAACTTTGCCTTAAAATAAGGTGGAGGGGACACTTTTTCTTGTTTTGCCCCTCTTTCAAACACAAAACAAAACTGGAAGAAGACTTTTATTCACTTTTTGCTTTATTATTATTTTTTGTGTGTGCTGTGTGGTCTCCAGTGGTTCCTGGCATCTTAAGACTGGCTTTTGGGCCTGTGCAGCTTGCCCTCCATTAAGTATGCCTCCTTGTTCTGGAAAAAAACGTTATTTGTTGCTAATGCCAGATATGAAAATTGTTGTTTTGAGCAAGAAAGTAGAACATAACTGGTGCAACTGTATAAATATCTATTCAGAAGTAAGTTCATTAAGTTTAGCGTGCTTTCTCCCAGTGTAAGTAAGCTTAGAATTTCAGCTTTACAATTCAACGGACCTTCTGGTCAGTGTAAGCTTCACATTTGCATTCCAGATCAACGGGAGCGACAACCAGTTTAAGTCTCATGTGTGAGGACATCCCAAAAATAGTAACATGGTTTAGCAACAGAAGCTGAATAGTCAGCACTGACGTATGAACTCAAGAGAAGAAGAAAGGAACATTCCTAACCACACACTTCTTAATCACATGTGAACCTTGGGACATGAAGACTGGTGTCAGCTGTCACTTTCCAGCTGCTTCACTGTCTGGTTTTAAAACATAATTACGGAAATGTGATTGCAGGAGTATCCATAAAGAAAAGTTTGATAGATTGCAGATGGTAATTATGGTTACTGTATAAGGAACATTAAGTTGGTAATAGAAAACATACCAAAATGGCAGTCTTTTTGTGCATGTGAGATGATGCAGAAGATCTTAAACATTAAACTTCCTAAGTAATTTTGATGTCATTCTATTGTCATTCCTGACTCTGTACAATATCGAGCATCTGCAGATGCTGGGGCACAGATAACCAAGGCAGAGAGAAATGTTTTGTGGCCCAAATGCTGAATAATTGCCACTAACAATTGAAACTATTTCAAGTTTTGTTGAGTCAGGCCAGTCTTAGTGATTAATCTGAACAGTGATTACAAAACCTGGGTGTAACTGATTTTATTTAATTAGAATTACATTCATATCCCACTTTTATTCCAGTTAATTTAAAGCAGTATATGTCCTGTTCTCTCCTCTTCATCCTCACTACAACCCTTGAAAGTAGGTCAACCTGAGAGACAGTGGCTAGTCCAAGGTCACCCCATGAGGTTTTTTTTAGAGGTTCTTGGGAACTTGCACCAGGCTTTTCCACATCCCACTTCAGCACCACACTGGCTCTCCATACCGATACCAGCTCCCTGGTTTACTATTTTAGTCTATTTTAATTACCAGATGAAACTGAGAGGCCATCTCTCTCTTAAGAAGATCACCATGGTGATTCATCATTGCTCCCCTTAAAGTCGGAAAGTTACCTTCATGATACCTTTGAAAGCAATGAGTTACAGTGATGGTTTGAAGGCTGCCAAAAGTACTTACAATAAAATTAATTATCCAAAAAAAAAAAAACAACAACAGAACAAAAAAAAAATTAACTCTCCTTTCACAGAAAAGTTATCTTCCGTTTCCTATTATTAAAAGCTAATAATTATATTTTAGTTGATTGGAAAAAAACAGTAGAAAGCTGCAAACTGCTCTTCCATAGTAGAAAGACATCTACATTTTAAGGCCAGCCCTCTTACAGTTGCTTTTAACCAAGGGCCTTGCTAAAGCCCATGAAGCTAGTGCATCCACACAGGGTCAGACCGAGATATTTTCCTGCCTGAAGCAGCTTGCAAGTGGCATTCTCTGGGTGGCACTTTTTAAAAAGTTTGTTCCCCATTTATCTTTCTTTGTTTTATTTGCACCAATTAAAAGAAACCATGCTTAAAAGATTTGTGTGTGTGTGTGTGTGTGT